AAAGTCCACCTAGTCCACCATTCTGTTGCCAACAGCAGCCAGCAATTTATTCCACAAAATTTATATATTGCTTGATAGTAACAAAAATCTATCTATCTATCTATCTATCTATCTATCTATCTATCTATCTATCTATCTATCTATCTATCATCTATCTATCTATCTGTCTATCTATCTATCATCTATCTATCCATCCATCCATCTATCTATCTATCATCTATCTATCTATCTATTTATCTATATCTATCTATCTATCTATCTATCTATCTATCTATCTATCTATCTCCTAGGCAGGACCTCCCCCTACATACAAATGCAAGTATCTGCAGCCATAACATCATACATTTCTCAGTATAATGTCATAAGACAGTTAAACAGGATGCACCTGGAAGTTAACAAGCAATACGTGAAGTGGATGTTTCCACTCACCCTGTTGTTTGCAAGCGCCTGATTTTCCAGAGTACATTTCTCAATGCATGGAGGAGAGGTTCATGTGAGCTTTTCATGGGTAATAGCTGTTGATAAGCCTCTATGAGTTTGTAGAATCATAGAACTGGAAGGAGCTCGATGCAGGAAATCCAGGGCTTGAGTATTCCCAACAGCCTGCCAGTCTCTGCTTGAAGATCTCCAAGCGTGGGAGAGAGCCCACCACCCCACTAATTGCTTCCCTTGTTAGACTGCTCTTCCCATCAACTGGTTCCTCCTTAGTTTAAGCCAAAGTGTACCCTTCCATAGCTTAAGCCCACTCAGCCTTTCCTATTTTCCTGTTTTCCTACCTGCATCCTTCTTGAGGGATGGTGTCCAGTATTCCGTACTCCAGATGAGGCCTGACTAGTGCAGAATAAAGTAGAACTACTGCCTCCCATGACCTGGAAACTATGGTTCGACATCTAGAGATGATGCAGTAAGAGCTGAAACTTGATGAATGACCAGCCTCACAAAAAGGGACAGGGATTTACCTGACAGGGGATCCAGAAAATGTGGCGTGTCCCTGGGAAATAGAGATGGTTGCAGTGTCTGCTGTAAGGGAATGGCCAGCCTTTCCTTGCTGGACTTCTTTTCCATACTCTGATAACCTTTGTGACCCTCCTCTGAACCTCTTCTGATATGTCTAATCCTTTTGAAAAAAGAAGAAGTATAAGAAAGCCACATCTTGTGATAACCGAAGCTGAAAAACATGTTGGAGCAGCTGTTTAAAATGCAGCCGATCATGGAGAATAATCAGACTTCTCATCCACAAGGTTCAGCTAACCACCCACTTGAGAGAAATCAAGGACTTTATAAGCCCGAGATGGAAAAAACAAGCATGTTTCTGGCTGATAAAAAAGAGAATTTACTATTGCAAGCCCAGAGAACCTGCTTTATGATGAACAACACTTCTTGGGCTTCTTCTTTTTCTTTGGTAATTACTCTTAGCTGACTAAGATTGTCTTCCATGAACAGATTAAGATTGTCTTAACAGTGAGTCCATAAGTGATGAGGATTCAAATTCTGTATCCACACGTCCTTCCACAGTGGAGACACAGTGGAGTTAATCATGGTTTGCCAAACGTGCCTTCCTCTTAGCTTGTTTCTCCCTTTTGTCCTGAGTTTGAGCGTCTTCAAAGCCCATGACGCCTTTGGTAAAGGCTGTTCTCCAACTGGAGCACTTGCAGGCCATTGTTTCCCAGTTGTCGGTGTTTATACTACATTTTTAAAGATTTGCCTTGAGAGAGTCTTTAAAGCTCTTTAGTTGACCACCAGCATTACGCTTTCCATTTTTAAGTTGGGCATATCTTACTTGAGTCTAGCTGATATTAGTTACTGTATCTGATATATGAGCAGAAATTTCCTTCTGGGTATGTCATCAGGCATTGGGACTTATTCTTGGAAGATAAACGAGTGTCGTTTTTTCTGCCATTTGTGGAGTTGGGTTGGTGGAATCCAGATTGGAATTCTTAATCATTGGTGTGTGACTCCAGCCCATGTGAATAAATCAGTACAAGGGGAATGGATAACTGATGGAGATGTATGCAGGTCAGTGCTAATTTTAGCACATTTGATGGTTCTGTTCTAAAATCTCTCTGTTTTGCAGGGTAAATTGGTTATAACCATTGGTTTAATTATTGGCTATTCAGTCCCTCTGAACCCTTTCATTATAGAATTAGGGTATTTAGAAAGAACCGTGCACAGGAAACATCATGAGCTGGTCCGGAAATTACTGCTAGCAGCTAAATTTCTTCCTTGCCAGTAACTGGCAGAATTGGCCCATCTTTTTCTTATCTGTTTGACATAAGAACGACAAATTTCACCCATTTCCTCACTAGTGGCTTCACCTCCAAGCTTCTACATCTTCAGACTGCCTGCAGAAGTCTACCCATTCATTCCCTGTTGTCTTAAGGGATACAAGTTCATCAAGTCCCTTCTTTCAGTTTTATTTTTTGCTGTGGTGCAAAGTATTCCATTAAAGCCTTGGGGCCTCCTGGGATAGCGTCCTCAGGAAAGCAGAGGGCAGGAGAAGGTGCCGCCTGGCCAACATCTGTCATTGCTAATTTATGCTCTGGTCAGGAGCCAAAGTCTATCCCAGAAGAGTTTCAGTCACACACCCACACCCACACACACACACAGGGACATTTGCACTGGCTGAGCCTCTGGCAAAGTTCTGTCCCCTCTTTCCCAAGCCAGCAGGCTCCCAACAGACACGTCTCCTCCATCGAGGGGACAGCAGGTGCAGCACCCAAGCTCTCTCTTTCAGGCAGCCTTCCAACAGCTTTGCACAGATGACCACGCAGAAGTGCCAAGGCTCAGCAAACAGCTCATAAAAACCTGGCTCTGGGAAACCATCGACATCCACACAGGTAGAGGGGGAGATACCACATGCAAATGTTTCAGGGAGACCGAAGGCTGCTGTCCCATATCCAGCCAGTCCTGCTGGAATCCCATTCCAGCCTGTAGGAACAAAGCAGCTTCATTTCAGGGTTGCAGCCAAAAATGTGTATGAAACTGGTGGGTTGCTTCCGGCTAAGTCATACTCGGGAGAAGACCCATGGAGATTAATGGACTTAATTCAGGTAGTCATGTTCTCCTACCTAGTGGGATAAAACACACAGAGGCAGCAAGGTGATGTCCATTTTCGTGGGCTCCGTTAAGGGACAAAATGCCAAGTTTCCGGGGTTGTGCAGAACTTCTCCAAGCCGAAAGTATCCAAAGCAGGCAAAATAAACTAGGGACATCTTTTAAAATGTAAAGGTCCTTCGTACACGTTCCATTTTTATTGTGCTTTTTTCACTCTTTTTGCGAGAAAAAGCACTTAAAAAAAAAAAAGCAAACCCATGAAGCTATTTAAAAGCAAGAGACAACAAGAAAAGCAAAAGTCAGCTGCGGGAATTAGTCGGAAAGAATGGACGTTTTGCGCCTCCTATGAAAACAGGGGAAAGGGGGTTGGGTTGGGTTTCTAAAAACTAGCTCTGTGGACTTTCCCCGGCAGAGTGTTCTGCACAAAAGCTGCTAAGAGCAGAGAAGGCTGGTTGGCAATGATGTCTGGAATGGCAATGATCTCTGGAAGAAACCCCCTTCTGAAGATATGGAGTGAGATCTGGACTAAACCCCATCAGTTCAGTGTAGTGGCTGGAGTGCTGGACTAGGACCGGGGAGATCCAGGTTCAAATCCCCATTAAAGCCAGGGTGTTCACTGGGGCCAATTGTTATCTCCCAGCGCTGCCCTACAGAGCTGTTGTGAGGCTAAATATGGGGAAGAATAGGCACGTCATTCTAAACTCTGTTGATGCAGGGCAGCACAAAAATTTAAGAAACAAATAAGATACCAAGATCTAGGGCAGGCATAGGCGAACTTGGCCCTCCAGCTGTTTTGGGACTACAACTCCCATCATCCCTAGCTAACAGGAGCAGTGGTCAGGGATGATGGGAATTGCAGTCTCAAAACATCTGGAGGGCCGAGTTTGCCTATGCCTTATCTAGGGAGAGCTGTTCTCTAACTAGCCATGACATTTTATTTCTGGCGCGGTTTGAGCTGGACGTTCTCAAAAAGGAAAGATTGTCCACAGGCGTCTGGTCTTACAGGAGTGATCACTTTGTAGAGCTCCATGAATTAAGGCAGGGAATACTTTCTCCAGCAAGATCTAGGGAGAACTGTGTGTTCGTTCTCTCTCTCTCTCTCTCTCTCTCTCTCTCTCTCTCTCTCTCCCTCTCTCTCCCTCTTTCTCCCCCTACCCCCTCCACAACATAAAATCCTTAGGGGAATGTTCATTTTGAGGAACCATACGGACTGTTTTCCCCAACTTTGAAAGGGGGAAGGAAAAAGAGAGCACAGAGCCATTCAAGCTTAGCGTTTGCTGCAACGGTTACAAAACTTCTCATGCTCTTTTGCTTGTGTTACAGCTACCCTGAAAAGCACACAAGACGACTTGCACCGAAAAGCACTTGAGGCTCTGGAAAGGTGAGGAAGAAAGATTCCCAACTGACAGGTGTTTTGTTTGTTTTACACCAAAACCTTAAGCAGTCTCTAGGCTTCTACTTATGTTGGAGCTCTTCCTCCTTTATCCTTGTTTTAGGTGCTAAAAAGGTAAAGGGACGCCTGACCATTAGGTCCAGTCGTGACCGACTCTGGGGTTGCAGCGCTCATCTCGCTTTACTGGCCGAGAGAGCCGGCATACAGCTTCCAGGTCATGTGGCCAGCACGACTAAGCCACTTCTGGCGAACCAGAGCAGCACATGGAAACACCGTTTACCTTCCCACCGGAGCGGTACCTATTTATCTACTTGCACTTTGACGTGCTTTCAAACTGCTAGGTTGGCAGGAGCAGGGACTGAGCAACGGGAGCTCACCCCGTCAATCTTCTTCTTTTTTTCTTTTTTCTTTTGGTTTTGTAGTACCGTATGCCTTCCTTCCACATAGCATATTTTTATTGGTTTCATTTATGGATCACATGCTATGAATAATCTCAAAGCAATTTCACAATACAACAAAAAACATCTATTCCATGGATCCTTCTGCTTGTGGGACATATAGGAGCATGGGTTTCATTGCCCAACACGTTGAGCTAATGGGCAATAAGCTTAATGCTCCCTTTGCTTTATGCACCGTTATCTCACCCAAGGCCACTGGAAGAGGCCAGGGATGATTTTCAGACAGTGGCCAAACCACTGATCTTCTGATCGGCAAGTCCTAGGCTCTGTGGTTTAACCCACAGCGCCACCCGCGTCCCGTTTTAGGTGCTAACGAGGGAATAAATGCATGTCAGCAAAAGCATATTTCTGCCTCCAGAGTCAACTGAAAAGGTCCTCCTGCTGCTCCCTGATTCTCTGTGCACTAACCAGAAGTGTAAGAAGGCATCGCTTAGACAGAGCTCCCTCTCAGTGGGGGATTTAGCTTTACGTGGCAGGCATTCCTAGACTCAGATGTAACATCTCCCTTACTGTGCTATTTAGATGTAATTGCTGTCCTATATTACTCTTAAACCATCTTTATTTTTAGCCTTTTGACCTTTCCCCACCGGCTGTGGCTTGTTTCCTTGATATCTTAACTCCGGCTTGGACGCGGGCAAGATTGCTAATCGGACATCACAGATGCCCACCCGTAGCCAACAGGGGGGGTTATCGGGAGAGGTCAACTGCATCCTTGTTGACCACATGCAGAATAGCCTGCTAGCATTAAGAAAAGTATATTTGCTAGAGACGGGGTGGTATGAGAGAGCTGAAGGTGCTACGAAGCAGGCATCAGTGCTGAGGCTTTGTACGTAGGGAGACTGCCTTAAACCGAGGTCAGACTGTTGCTCTATCAAAGCAAGCATTGTCTATTCTGATCAGTGTTGCCGTCCAGGCAATGTCTTTCACACTATGCTATCTGACCCTTTGGGGAACAGCAAGAGTTGCACCTCGGACCTTCTGCATGCTATATATGTGTTAGCATCCTTTGCTCCCTCTCTAAATGCCAATATTCTGCTACAGCACTGCTTTGGGGGGCGTTTCTCGGAATCCCCAAGCAATGCCAGGTATGAGGCTAGTATACAAATTGGAGGTTACTGAAGAGGCTGCTGCTGAGATGGCTCAGGACCTGTTTGTCCATGATATTTGGATAGCTGGCTGCAGCCCCACAGAACAAGGGAGAGACGAGGTTGGGATAGGTTTGCTGGGAAGGACCAGTGGCTGAGAATCTGCTTTGCATGCAGATGGTTCCAGGCTCAACCCATGGCATGTAAGACCTGGGCAGTAGTAGTAGTAGTAGTAGTAGTAGTAGTAGTAATAATAATAATAATAATAATAATAATAATAATAATAATTTTATTTATACCCCACCCTCCCCAGCCAGAGCCGGGCTCAGGGTGGCTAACAACAGTAAAAATTACAGTAAAAACATAATGGGGGGGGGACCCAATTAAAAATACAGGTTAAAATGCAATTTAAAATGCAGCCTCATTTTAAAAGTAGCCCATAGATCAAAACCATAAGGGGAGGGAAACATAAGGGTCAGACTGAGTCCAAACCAAAGGCCAGGCGGAACAGCTCTGTCTTGCAGGCCCTGCAGAAAGATGTCAAGTCCCACAGGGCCCTAGTCTCTTGTGACGGAGCATTCCACCACTTCGGGGCCAGTGCTGAAAAGGCCCTGGCCCTAGTTGAGACCAATCTAACCACCTTGTGACTTGGGACCTCCAAAATATTGTCATTTGTGGACCTTAAGGTCCTCCGCGGGGCATACCAAGAGAGGCGGCCCCGTAGGTATGTAGGTCCTAGACCGCATAGGGCTTTAAAGGTCAAAGGTAAAGGTAAAGGTACCCCTGCCCATACGGGCCAGTCGTGTCCGACTCTAGGGTTGTGCGCCCATCTCACTTAAGAGGCCGGGGGCCAGCGCTGTCCGGAGACACTTCCGGGTCACGTGGCCAGCGTGACGAAGCTGCTCTGGTGAGCCGGCACCAGCGCAGCACACGGAAACGCCGTTTACCTTCCCGCTATAAAGCGGTCCCTATTTATCTACTTGCACTTAGGGGTGCTTTCGAACTGCTAGGTGGGCAGGAGCTGGGACCGAAAGACGGAAGCTCACCCCGCCGCGGGGATTCAAACCGCCGACCATGCGATCGGCAAACCCTAGGCGCTGAGGTTTTACCCACAGCGCCACCCGCGTCCTGTTTAAAGGTCAAAACCAGCACCTTAAACCTGACCCTGTACTCCACCGGGAGCCAGTGCAGTTGGTAAAGCACTGGATGAATGTGATCCCGCGGCAAGGACCCCGTAAGGAGCCTTGCCACGGCATTCTGCACCTGTTGGAGTAGGAGCCAGGGGGAAAGAGCTCTGCAATCAGAACCTCTCCCAGCGTGAGAAGACAATATTGAACTAGCTGGACAAACAGCCTGACCTGGTATAAAGCAGATTCCGTACACATGTGATAATCTTGACAGCCCTTTTGCAACAGGGAGAACTGCAAATGTCGCATGCATCTGCCTCCAGGCAGTGCGCCTCTGTTCCAGCCAAGGGCAAAATGGCAAAACGCCCCAGGTATGCTGCTGGCTTGCTGCAGCATTCTTAGTAAAATGCAAGGTGCTTTTTTGCATTGACCTATAAGCTGTTAAATGGCCTGCGCCCGGCATGCCTCAAAATACCTTCATTCCAAACTCTGAGATAAACAAAAAAGCACACTCTGCCACTCAGTGAGGGCACACAGGGAGTTGTTTTCAGTGGTTACTCCATACTCTGGAGGAATTCTCATCCTCCAGAGTCCCACAGATGCCTGAAAGATAATATTATTTGTGCCTCCTTCATGGTAAGGGCATCGCCTATGGTGCGGTGTGTGGGGAGGTTGTCACCCAAGCTTCTGTTTTTGATGGCCTAGTTAGTTATCCTAACTCTGGGGTAGCCAATGTATTGGTAGACTCCAGCTTCTGCAGCAGCCCTGATAGGTGTATGCATATGTGCAAGGGGAAGATTGAAGAACACAGTGAGTCTTTGCAGATACAGGAACTACCTTTGGTCCAGGCAGCATCATCACTATTATTATTGTTAATTTGTTGTTTAGTCATTTAGTCGTGTCCGACTCTTCGTGACCCCATGGACCAGAGCACGCCAGGCACTCCTGTCTTCCACTGCCTCCCGCAGTTTGGTCAAACTCATGCTGGTAGCTTCGAGAACACTGCCCAACCATCTCATCCTCTGTCGTCCCCTTCTCCTTGTGCCCTCCATCTTTCCCAACATCAGGGTCTTTTCCAGGCAGTCTTCTCTTCTCATGAGATGGCCAAAGTATTGGAGCCTCAGTTTCACGATCTGTCCTTCCGGTGAGCACTCAGGGCTAATTTCCTTAAGAATGGAGAGGTTTGATCTTTTTGCAGCTCATGGGACTCTCAAGAGTCTCCTCCAGCACCATAATTCAAAAGCATCAATTCTTCGGCGATCAGCCTTCTTTATGGTCCAGCTCTCACTTCCATACATCATTGTTAATTACCAGCAGGTAATTCATAGCCAACTGGTCCCAGGGTGAGTGGCAACACAAATTTTACATAGTTGAAACTGAGTACAGTCACGGGAATGGGATGGGTCCTAAAACACATATCCCAAGTGTCAAAGGCAAGGTAAAGAGATTTGTCTTCAGCAGTCAGCAAAAGGTGTACAGTGAAGGTATCAGGCGCACCTTTGTGGGGCAGGAATTTCACAGCTTAGCGGCTGCCACAGAGAATACCCTCTCCTGAACCTCTGAGGGTGGTGGAGCTGCCAGAAGGGCTCCTTCTGCTGATCTTAATGCCTAAGAGGAAGAAGGCAGTCTCCATTATGGGACCACTTATTAAACATCGTCAGGCAAAGACATGTTTGTTTACCCAGGCATTTGGGCAGCACCCACAATGCATTTCCCCCCAATATGTTTATGTTGTTTTGTCATTATAATTTATCATCACTGCAAATTGCTTAAGGTCTTTTAGTTGTTGGGAGTGTTACATCAATGCAATAACTCTAACCTAACTTAACATTGATGATTCTGCACTGAGCAGCTTAGACTAGATGACTTCTAAGGCCCCTTCTGAATGAATGATTTGATCCTCATCAGCCTCCATCTTGTCTTTTGGGCAAGCCCTTATCACACCAAGTTAATATATAATCCTATTAGTGATTTATCATTATTCGCCTTCCACTCTTCCTCCAGGTTGGCATGCAGGAGACTGTTTAAAAAGTCTCAGTACATATCTCTGTACGTTTAGCCATGGCAGCTAAAGGGACCACCAGTGTTTCAAAGAGAGTATGCCATGGGGATGCGGGTGGCACTGTGGGTTAAACCACAGAACCTAGGACTTGCTGATCAGAAGGTTGGCGGTTTGAATCCCCGTGACAGGGTGAGCTCCTGTTGCTTGGTCTCTGCTCCTGCCAACCTAGCAGTTCGAAAGCACATCAAAGTGCAAGTAGATAAATAGGTACCACTCCGCCAGAAGTGGCTTAGTCATGCTGGCCACATGACCTGGAAGCTGTACGCTGGCTTCCTCGGCCAATAAAGCGAGATGAGCGCCGCAACCCCAGAGTCAGTCACAACTGGACCTAATGGTCGGGGTCCCTTTACCTTACCTGTGCCATGGAAGACCCTTTGCAGAGAGCATACCAACTATGATGGGGCTTGGAGGGCTTAAATCCTGCTTGTGAGCTTACCTGAAGCATCAGGTTGGCCCAGAGTGGACCAGGATGCTCTCTGTTATGGTCCTTTGAACTGGCCGAGCAGGCCTCCATTATTACGTTCCAATCTTGACAATAGCCCTGTGCTATTGTCCTATTATAGGTTAGGCAGAATGGCAACAATCTGTACAAAGCCACAAAGTGAGCTTCATGGCTTTGTGGGCATCCAAAGCCAGGTCTTCCTGATCCAAATTGCTACACCACACTGGCTCCCCAGACTAGAGAGGAAACAGTGTCCCAATGTCAGGGACCGTGCTGAGGAGGGCTGCACTGAGGAGGAATGGTGGGAGACTCCCTCCCTCTCTGCTCCTGATCAGGATCCTGAATCTTCCCAGGAGCAGGAGGATAGTATAGATTTGGAACAGTGATTTGCAGAGGGGCACAGTACAGAAGGCAGAAGCTGGGAAATACAGGGTGGGGAACAGCTAGGAGAAGAAACACTGGAAAAGAGAGGGTTAACAGATTCGCAGTCTCTGGACAGCATTCCTTTACT